GGTATCAATAATGAGTTCTTGAATGGGTATGTTTGCAAAAAAATACTTCTATTAATAAATCACCTATCTTTAGAGAGGTTAATTATGTGAAAAAATGTTAACTTTCTTCACAAAAATCTTTATAAGTTTTGATAATTTAATTTATTCCCTCTTAAATTCAGTATTTTTGTCAACATAAAGTAGGTCATGTCTAAATAATAGATAAAACATATCCATAGGAAATCAAGGTGATTGAAAAAAAAATGTTTCTTTTGGACAAAACATTAATTTGTGATCTTATTGTTTTTAATTTTATCAATCACGTGTGCACAAGAAACAATTATAAAGTTAAAACTTGCACTCAATTCCTAATATTCACCTTCAAAAATTTAGTATAATGTTCATTATCCAAACCTTATTATTGCCTTTATATTCTGAAATATTATTTGTAAAATAATGTGTGAACTTTATAAAGGGACATTTTGAATAGAGTTCAAAAACTTTTCGTTAGTACGTTTATTTGTGATTTTAAGTGTGGAATTTGTAAGTGTTTTAATTTTTTGTTATAGTTTTTGAATTGACAAGTTAACATTCTTTAATGATCCACTTATGTGATTCTCACATCATTATCAACATAGGATCAAATAAGAAAAAAAATTCAAGATAAAATATATTTTTTATATAATAATTATGACAAGTATCTATATTTAGTTTAATTAAAATATATTTTTTAATTTTTATACAATATCATTATTTTGTTAAGTTTTAAATCTTCACTACTTAAAAAGTAATTAGTTACTTATATATTATATTAATGTATGATTTTAATTATAAAAAAATTTGACTCCATAAAAAATCATATGTTTTGCTTTGTTATATGTTTTGTTTTGTTATATAGAGTTATAAGTGAGTATTTACATTTCGATAGATTTATGTTTATATTTAAAAATTTAGGTAGATTTGCATTAATTTAAGTGTGAGTTCTAGGAAGTGAGAAATCCTTTTTTGCAAAAATTGGATAAAATGGCATATACGAGTAATAACACAACTACTTTTGCTTTTTTTTTCTCTACTTACTCTATCAAGAATCAGTATATAAGCTTGTTTTTCTATGTTTCTTATTTGTAATTGTATTACATTTTTTTTAGGTAATGTTTATGTCTTCCTCTTCTGCTAATTTCTACTTAATTTATTCATTCCACCTCACAAGTGTAATTTAGTTATTATACTAAAAAATATTATTATTCAATTATCATATATTCAATCACATCAACTATAATAAATTTATTTAAATCCCTTCAAATCTATTATTTTTTTCCTCGATCCAACTAACCCACCAATTCACTCAAATCTCTATCCTAAAATTTCAACTATATTTTTGGAGGACACTTAAATTCAATTAGATAACTATAGACATCATTTAATCATATACGTGACATAAAATTAACCAATTTTCCAGATAATTAAAAAATTAATAAAATAATTAATAATGTGAGAAAATAAAATAAAATAAAATATTTTAATTATTGCCATAATATATATATATATATATAATAAGAAATATAAATTTAATTTTCGTCTTTATATATATATATATATATATATATATTAGATTAATAAAATTAAATAACAAAAAAAACATAAAATTTTAACTTATCTCTTCATTTTATATATCTCTAAGTGAGGTTATAAAAATAATTATTATAATGTTTTTTTGTATTTATAAAAAAAGAAGAGAAAAAATGTAGTAGAAAGAAAAAAAGAATTGAAAGACATATAAAAAGTAAAATAGAAAACATAATTCATATGTGTATAACAAAAAAGCGTAAAAAGATAAAGTAAAACTACAACATTTTTTTTAACGTCTATATTTTTACTGCTAATGATAATTAATCTTCTAAAAATATTGGTTTTCTTACTTCCGTGTCAACATTGTATAAATTATATTATCATATGATATTTTCATTTAAATTTTCAATTATTTTAATTTATTTTTAATTTTGTTTGGATGCTTGGTATTACCGTGTGGTAAAAGAAATATTACTAGAAATATTTATATAACTTTTTTTTTGTAATTTTAACGTAACGTGTTATTTTTACTTAAATCATTATATCATACCACATTAAATAATTTAACAAGAATAATATGCTAGTTTCTTCATTAAAATAATTATTTTGATTTGTGAAAAATAGATCCGACTTCTCCATGAGAATATTTTCGTGGAAAATGTTGATCACAAACCATTATGAAAAAACCTTCTTTTATGGTAATATTACTTTACAAAAAATAAACTAAACAATAAAAAGATAGTTGTTTAAATTCAGATTTTTAATAAAATAAAAGTTACTCTTTTATAGTGTTAGAGTTGAATATATTAGAATTATTCTAGGATTAACTTAATTGTGTGAGTTGTTGTAACCTTTCTTACATATTTTTAATTCTTCTGGATAAAAAATATATATTAATAAATATGATATTTAATAATATTATTAAAATTTGTTACTATTATATTTAATAATATTATTAAACTATTATATTTAATAATAAAATAAATAACTATAGACTATAGTGTTATCTATATAAAATAATTTTTATTTTTATTATTATTGTTCATATAACATAGGAAAGAATAAGTGTTATTTAGAATGTGAAATAATAATTCACTGTGTAATAAATATAATAATTCATTGTTATTAAATATAATTAAAATAAGTTATACAAATTTGTAGTAGTTACTTTTTATTTAATAATTAATAATAACTGAAAAATCATATGAAAAGTTATGTATTTAATAAGTGTATATTATCTTTAATAAGTATGGTATTAATAATATTATTAAGTTTTGTTATCATTATATTTAATAAATACAATAAAGAACTATCGTGTTTATCAAAGTGTTATAATTAAGAAATAAATTTTTATTTACATTATTATTTATTGCTATGAATATGTAAAAACTCTATCATTTTTTATTGTCTTATTATATGTTTGCTATAAATAAGACATTAAAAATAATGAAGTAAACCATTGTTATAGAAATATCATAAAAAAATTAATTTGTTCATATATAATAAGTCAATTATATTTATAATAAGAGAAAATGCCAGGAGTAATTTTATCTCTTAAAGTTGTTTTCTTCAATAGGTGTGGAAAGGTATAATTGAAAACTAAACCTCCTAAATAAGTTGAAACTCCTAAAATTACTTATCACATCAAATATTATAATAAAAACTAAAATATATATTTATGAAAAATTTTAAATTTTATAATGAAATTAAACAAATCTAGTTTTTCTTTTTTAATTTCTAAACAAATCATACCTAATAAAAACTAGGAATAATTCAATACTACATAAAATTATATTTATATTTAAGAGTTTGATTAATTAAAATGTAAAAAAAGAAGTTAGAGGCATTGAAGTTCTAATAACCATATTTTTGTTTCAATACATAATATTATAATTCTTAAAAAGACGCGTTAAGTTACGCAATAAATTTAGACCAATTTGCTTTTACTTTAAATAAGTGATTATTTAAAAAAAATAAGTACTTTTTTCAATAAATGTAATTAAAACAAGTTGTAAACTTTTGAAATAGTTAATATTTATTTAACAATAACTAAAAATTCATATGAAAAGTTATTTAAAGTATATAATATTTATAATAATATAATTAAGGTTTGTAATTATTATATTTGTTAAATACAAGAAATAACTATAAAGTTTTATGCCATGAATAAGGAATATGTTTTTTATATATATATTTTTTTTATGATCTTATTTTAAAACTATATTCTAAGTTGGAAGTAATTTAATTGGAGTAAATAACAATTGATTGCTTAATAAATATAATTAAAACAAGTCCTACAATTTTGTATTATTTATTTTTAATCACTTATAATTGAAAATTCATATGAAAAGCCATGTACTTAATAAGTATATATTAAATTTAATAAAATTATTAAAGTTTTTTATTATTACATTTATAATCAGTTCATTAAAAAAATTAGAGTTATGAATGCTAATTTTTTATTTATTTATTCTATTATTGTGTGGACAGATAATAATAATAATAATAATAATAATAATAATAATAATAATAATTCATTGTTTAATAAATATAAATAAAATAATATTTAAAATTTTGTAGTTTTTAATTTAATAATAATAATAATTGAAAGTTCATATGAGGAGTTATGTATTTAATAAAATTGTTATGGTTTCTCATTATTATATTTAATAAATAACAGTAATGAACTATAATTTTTTTATTAAAGTGCTATGAATAGGAAAATAATAATAATAATATTATTATTATTATAAATTATTAATATGAACATTGGAAAACTTTGTTGTCATTAAAAATGTATATAGAAATTCGATAATAAAAAAATCATATATTATAAGTTAACAATTTTTTTGACAGAAATATTATAAGTTAATTATTATAACAAATGAAGGATTAATATATAGTTTATAGCTACTTTATTTTACCTACAGAAATAACTGTCTGATCTTCATAGTTTCAATTATTATTTTAAGATTTTTACAAAAAACAAATATAAAAGTTAATTCAAAGATAATTTACTCACTTTTTAATAACATTAAATATTAATTTAATGTAATTAAGTATATTAAATTTAATTAAGTCTGAACAATGGCTATAGAAAAGTCATGTTTATACGAACAGTTATAAATTAAAAAAAATAAAAAAAAAAAAAAAAATATATATATATATATATATATATATATATATATATATATATATATATATATATATATAATATGATTATGTAGAATTAATATCCAGGTATATCTTGGTAATTGAATTCATCTTGTAACTCATAGTAACACACACGTTAAACAATAATAAATCATTGGTGCACATTCTCCTAAAATTAATTACCACACTAGTTTCATTGATTCATCATCATCATTATCTTAAAAATTTGTTATTCTTATTTGGAATATATATTGCCAATTTCTTTGCTCATTTCATAGGACTGTGGTGTCAACTTAGACATGGAGAATCAGCAACTCACATTTTGGAAGTCTAATTATGAAATTGATGAAAACCCATTTGCACCAACCTACCAATTTTCTATATATGATTATTGCAGGTTAAGAAAACCTTCTCTTTTTCTCTTTAATTTCACTAATCTTTTCAGTTTCCATGTACAAAAACTTAACATGTTAATATCTTTAATTTCTCCAGGGCTAATGCTAATGATGGGTTTCACTGGCCCTATGAATTTCCTCTGCAAGAGAACTATCTTGATGCTATCCCTTTCATGAAGTGTTATTATCCTCATGACATTTTATATGAAACTTTGCCTATTGAACCAACTCCACTAAGCGTTCAAGGTTGTAAGTATAAACATGAGTTTTATCAAGTTTTATACAACTCTCCATTGTTCTTGTCCTTGTTTTGATTTATTATGGCTTTATAAATTGCTATTGCAGACTACGACTTCAGTGATTTTCAAAACGTGCTTTCGGCGTGGAATGAAATTGACTGTTCAAATCATAAACCTGCGTTTTCTTCAAGCAACGATGGTGAAAGTGTGAATGAGATGAGAGAAGAAGTTAAGGGAAAACAACGCAGAGAAGAGAGAATTAGTAACAGTGCGAGAATGTTATCAAGGAAAACTGTTTCTCAGTACTTCTACATGCCAATATCACAAGCTGCAAAAGAGCTTAATGTTGGTCTCACACACTTGAAGAAAAGGTGCAGGGAATTAGGTATTCAAAGGTGGCCACATAGGAAGCTGATGAGTCTTCAAACCCTTATAAAGAATATGCAAGTAAGTTCTCAATGTTTGAATTGTCATTGTATCTATACATATTGAGTGCAAGGTTTTAAACTGCAGTTCCAATAACTTTTTTGTTACAAGAAATTACAGATAAATGTGTCCACATTTGTCATGCTAGGGTAGTAAAACCTCTAAAAATCCTAATTTTATGCTCAAAATTATAATCTTAAAAATTATGATTATGTTGCAGAGAGAATATTTATACTTGTTGATTATAAAGTTGTAGTTCATTATTATTATTATTAGTGAATTGGGTGGGTGGTGCAGGAGCAAGGAGAGGCTGTGGGGCATGAAAATGATGAAAAAATTAGGACTGCCATTGAAATGTTGGAGAAAGAAAAGAGCATGGTGGAGGAAATGCCAGATTTGGAACTAGAAGATAAAACAAGAAGGCTTAGACAAGCTTGTTTCAAGGCTAACTACAAGAAAAGGAAACTCATGGGCATGTTCATGGAACCTCAATCTTCCCTTAGTGGCCTATCCAACAAGTATTGACAAAAGGGGTGAATAAAATTATCAAGAAGCTATATATATATATATATATATATATATATATATATATATATATATATATATATATATATATATATATATATATATATATATATATATATATATATATATATATATATATAAACCAGATATCAACTATGTCTTTTGATTCTAATTCTACTTTAAGTACATTGTTATTTGGGGGTTTCAAGATTTTCTATATGCAATTATATATGCTGTGACTATTCATGGTATTTATTTTCCTGTTTTTTTTTTTTTTTTTTGTATTTGAGGCCAGTATTCATTGCTGAGCATTTTGCTATATTATTATTACCCTAAATCCTAAACAACTGTTTAGTTGACATTAATAATTCAAATATTTTACACCATTAAAATTTGAAGTCCGAGGTATAAATTTGTGCAGTGTTTTTGAAGAACTGTAACGCAGCTGTTATAAATTTTTTTGAAAGCATTTAAAATTGAGTTCTAGGATTGATAGAGTATAAAATCCCCAGAGAGACTCTTGCTTGCGATGTGATGATTTATTTTTATTGCTCTTTTCACAATATAGATTGTGTTCAACAGATATTTTTAACACAATCTCAATTACTTTGAGTCACTTCTTGTTTAATTTTTTGTATTATATATGTAGAGTGAATTGAGGATAGCTTGATGATGATGTTTAGTTATTTTTCTGCTCAATATTATATATACTGTATGGATATATGCTATAGGTTTCTCTTCATTCATTCTCCTTCCTCTTCTTAAAAGAGACTTTAGTTTCATTTCACGTCAATTTCAAAATATGATAACTATAATAACATTATAGATTAGAGTGTATTAGTGAGTATAAATCTAACCTTTGTGAATTTAAACCTCACGAATTTGAGTTTTTTATCCTCATAAGGCTATTTTTTTTAAACTTCTAGCTATCTCTGGAACTTTGTGGGAATGCACCTTGCATAGATTTTATGGTGCTGACCTAGATGATGCATAAAAGAATGAAAAAATACTCAATTATGACAAGTTAACATGGTATAAATTGTTTCTAAGAAATTCAGATCGATCATTATAAAATATGAAAAACATAATTGATTTCTTGAAGAGTTTTATACAAATTATAGAAGATTGGTTAAAAAAAAATTATTTTCTTGGAGAGTGGTTAAAAATATTATTTTCTTATTTTTATTAGTTAAATGTTTGAAATATTGGTGGGTAAATCTCATTATTAGTTTTTTAATTTATATTTTTTAATTATTTTTAAATATGTGTAATAAGGATTAACATAAAACCACTTTTATATATTCTTTTGGTATATTTTTTTATAAACAAATAATAATTAGAATTTATCATCACTGAAAATGAATTTTTTTATAAATTGAAAACATTTTCAAATTTTAATCTTTTATCATAATTTTCATTTTTAAGGATAAATTTATCTTAGTTCAAATATTCACGACTAAGGATAGGCTGATTTAGTTTTTGGCAGGAAATATACCAAAATTATTTTTTAAGATTAAGTTTGATCGATTTTGTGTTATAAAATATTGATTGTTAGATTAATTAAATATACATAGTATTTTTATTACAATATATATATATATATATATATGTATATTTTTAAATTTTTATTACAATATATATATATATATATATATATGTATATTTTTAAATTTTTATACTATTGCTGGTTTATTGATTAATTAGTCCTCTAATGTATAAAAATATGTTATTTAATATTTAGTAATGATTTTTTAGTTTAATAGAATTCATAAAAGGATAATATATAATTTTTATGTTTTTTATATCTATGTTTAGAATAAAGATATACACAAAGGAAAATGAAATGAAATATAAATAAATATATATATATATATAATATTTGTTTATGATTAATATTATCGATGTGAGATACAAGTTCAGCAAGCGATGGCAGAGTTAGGTGTACTTACCACAACAATTCACTGGAATTATGTGTTCATTCTTTGTCAGAAATTCATCGGTCTGAAATATGCTTAAACTGCATTCAGTGAGAGTTCCACGCCAATGGATTTTAAGTTGAAGCATTAACGAAATCATGATTTGATCACCCCAAAAATAAGCATAACCATGACTTCAGCAACACATGCATGTGTTCGTAAGTTACAAAGTTGTACCCTGCAACAGACTATACGGTAGTTGCAGTAGGTTTGAATCAGTAATAGTTGGTTCATCAAACGATCTACTTCCCTCGGTTAACAATGCTACCAAACTACAAGCATAATCTCACCATTCAAGTTTTCACAAATTCATAACCAGTATAAAACCAACTAAAGTGCATCAAGCCTTATTAGACCCTGTCTGCTAGAGCCTAGAAGTGTAACTTTACTTGTGGAGATTATCACTTGATAATCAAACATGAGGTTCCATCTGGCTCTAGTTGTTGTAATAGGTATCATTTTTGGAATTAAGCTTGAAGGGTGCCATTGCAAGGTTGTGCAGTTCATTTTTGGAGACTCCCTCTCAGATGTTGGAAATAACAAGTACCTTTCTAAAAGCCTTGCTCAGGCAAGTTTACCTTGGTATGGTATTGATTTGGGCAATGGACTACCTAATGGTAGGTTCTCCAATGGTCGCACAGTTGCAGATATAATTGGTAAATCTTTCACTTTTCATATGTAGATCCTAAAGTAGTCCCTGATATTGTAAGCACTATAGTCTGATGCTAGTGTGAGCATGCAAGAATTTAACTCAATTTTATCTGCATGAGGGTTGCTGAATTTTCAGAAAGTCCATTCATGGCTGCTTCTTCCAACTTTCTTTGTTTATTTAGTTTATTTGTGGTTTGTCAAAGGATTTTGATACCAGGTTGAGCAATAAGTGAAGTAAAAGTTTGTTCTGTTATTTAGAAATAAAAAGCATTTTTGTATTGTTTCACTCTGTAATCGTAGTTATATAATTCACATGTTCAGGTGACAACATGGGCCTTCCTAGGCCTCCAGCATTTCTTGATCCATCTTTAACTGAAGATGTTATATTGGAAAATGGGGTGAATTATGCTTCTGGGGGTGGCGGCATATTGAATGAAACTGGCAGTTATTTTGTAAGTTGCTTAGTGTAACTTTGATGATATTTGCAATATAACTATTTAGTATATAAGCATAACAAGGCACTATTATGTGAATAGGATCCTCTAAAAATTGAAAAATTTGAGAGTTATTTATGAGAAAATGAATCATTGATATGAACACTAATAGTTTATTTTCTTATAAGAGTTGAGATCGTTGGCATTAACTTTACCTACTTCAGAGGAACAAATCCATGACACATATTTTGACTGTAAAACCATTCCTCTTGCAGATTCAAAGGTTTTCTCTCTACAAACAAATTGAGCTTTTTCAGGGGACACAAGAACTGATCAGAATCAGAAATGGGAAAGAGGAGACAGAAAAGTTTTTCCAGGGAGCTCGTTATGTTGTTGCTTTAGGCAGCAATGACTTCATCAACAACTACTTGATGCCTGTTTACAGTGATTCATGGACATATAATGATGAAACCTTCGTGGACTACTTGATAGGAACTCTTAAAGAACAATTGAAGGTTCATTTGACTATGAACAACACTCTAACACATCCATTTTCTAGACCCCCTTTACCATCACTAGAAATTTGTTGGAAACTAAATAATGATGGTGTCTCAATTCTTATTTCATAAATCTTAGTAGTCTATCATAATTTTATGTTTCATTTTAACTTCTAATTAACAATTCTTCAATCATGTGATTTTACTATTTAGCTACTTCATGGGCTAGGAGCAAGGCAGTTGATGGTGTTTGGGCTGGGCCCAATGGGCTGCATTCCCCTTCAAAGAGTGCTTAGTACATCTGGTGACTGTCAAGATAGAGCAAACAAGTTGGCAATTAGCTTTAATAAAGCTGGAAGCAAGTTAATAGATGACTTGGGAAAACAACTTCCCAATTCAAGCTACAGATTTGGAGATGCATATGATGTTGTCAATGATGTCATTAGCAACCCAAACAAATATGGTAAGTATGTATATACCTGATACGTAGACCATTATCTGAAACTTAAGCATTGGCAATTATAAATATTCAAAGGAATTTGCTATAGTATTCTAAATTTGCATTATAACAACATTTTTTAATGTAGGATTTCAAAACTCAGACTCACCCTGTTGCTCCTTCGGGAACATTCGACCAGCACTCACATGTCTACCTGCATCGAAACTGTGCAAAGATAGAAGCAAGTACGTTTTTTGGGATGAGTATCATCCCTCAGACAGAGCCAATGAACTAGTTGCCAATGAGCTAATCAAGAAATTTGGGTTTATGCGTGTTGATCAAACAAATCCTCCTTCCCCATCACCTGCTATTGCTCCATCTTCAGACGATTGATCGTGGATGCCAAGGTTTTACTGCATAATGCTCTACTTGTTTTTCAAGTTGGAGCTTGCCTTGCATACATATTTTATTCTAGTAAAAGAAGTTTTTAATATTTCCGATACGGGTATACAATTGTATTACTAATACATGTTAAATTCAAATGGAACGATTAGTGTTTTATACAAAAGTGAATCAAATTTTGAAGTTTTGCTGAGAAAGATACTCATTTATTTAGTGTATATGTTTAACTACTGAAGAAGAAAACATGAACAATAAAATGCTAAACCTATATAACTGTGGTGTAATAAAAAAATTGGGATTTAACCGGATTTATAAAAATCCCTAATATGTGTGTTCGTGATCCTTTAAATTGGTCAAGAAATGCTCTCATTGATTTATTGAAAAATTGCTTCAAAATTAATTGCATTGCTGACACTTCATGTTGCATATTGCATTGCACTATCGGTGGGGTTTTTTTTTAGGTTGTACAAAATCATATATTGTCACTCTCAATTACTTCAATTATGAATTTTATATTTAATTAATATAAAAACTCATGGATATTCAAAGAGGAAGAAGTCCATGTAAAATATATTATTAAATATACAACTTGAATTTTAAATTTCAATATAATATAATTGTATATTTATTTTTGGTGAAAATATAAATTAAATATCTTAACAACACAATTGTAAGTTTGTTTTGTTTCGGCTAGCATTTACTCGAGATATTATAAATTTAAAGAAACTTAATCAATTTCATAGAATCAAAATTTAATTTATTATCATAATTTCGTCATTTTGATGGAAAAGACGGTTAGAAAACTAATAATTATGATTCTAATTTTGATTCTAACTATCAAACATAAACATTATCTCATATTCATAAACATGTTGTAGACAGAATGCGAAAGCATACCTGAATTAGTCATAATGATGATGTTCCTTTTATAGCACTATTGATCTTATGGTCTTCCACCTAAAGAACACCTTTATTTTCCCTCTTGATTTTCCCTCTTGATGGGGATAGAAAGAAAGGAATTAGAATTGAGACTGAGACTTACGTTTTGTGTGTGCTCTCAGAAAGGGATCATGATCCTTTAAATAACTAGAATTATGTTAATTACTTAAGTTTTAGTATTTCTAATTTGGCCCCTCATCAAATTAGAAATTACTCTATGGTCTCTACACAATTTTATTTTTATGACATATGCCTTTAGCCAAAATTTTAATTTAGTCAGATTACTTTATTATTTGACTTAATAAATAATGGTCCTAACATATTTAAATTATGTATCATATATATACATGACCCAAAATTTGTCAATAATCTCCCACTGGTCACAAATATACATGTCCTTACAACCTTACAAATGTGTTATACTTTATGAACTCAAAATTACCATTATATTCCTTTAGCATACTCTAAAAGTTCTTTCTATTGATCATATCAGGATATAGAATTAAACCAGTTTTTCATTGCATCATCGCAACTAAAACCAACAATGATTACTAATCCTGACATAAACAAATGACATGGATTCATCATGAAATGTGTAGCATGAAAAATTACGTGAAGGTGATCTGTATACGTCTATTTTCAACTGGTCCAAACTTTAACTTATCAAGATCGATATAATAACCTTCATGTACAAAATGTAATGAATGAACGAAAAATAGTATACCTATAGATAACCAAATATATCCAAAAAATCAATGTATATATACATGAAATTAAACATAAAACATAAAATATATGAAAATGACTAATTCTCACTAAACCACAAATTCCTCAAACTGTAAAACACTCATGTGAGCAACATGCTCATGAAAGACCTTGGGCGAAAGTCTTTTAGTTAGAGGATCTGTTATCATGGAGGTTATCCCTAATTGTTCTATGGAAATTTTCCCACTCTGTACTCTTTCTTTAACAACTAGGAACTTAATGTTGATGTGTTTTGACTTAGTCGAACTCCTATTGTTGTTGGAATACAATACAATTGATTTTTTGTCACAATATAACTTAAGTGGTCTTTCAATGTCTTTCACAATTTGCAGCCCTGTGACCAAATTTCTCAGTCATATTCCATGATTTGGTGTCTCATAGCATGCTACAAATTCTGTTGTCATAGTGCATGAGGCTGTAAAGGTTTGCTTGACACTGTGCCAAGAAATCACACCACCTGCCAACATGAAAATGTAACCTGCAGTGGATTTCAAACTATCTTGACATCCTGCAAAGTCCGAGTCAGAAAACTCAGCGATCTCCAACTGGTCTGACCTTTTGTATGTGAGGATATAATCTTTTGTTCTCTTTAAATATCTCATGACCATTTTTTCTGCTTTCTAATGGTCAATTCCTAGATTGCTTAAATATTTGCATAGAACCCCGACTATGTAAGCTATGTATGGACACGTACATACTTGGACATACATCAAACTCCCTACAGTTGATGTATAGGGAATCTTCTGCATTTCCTCAATTTCCAAATTCCCCTTTGGGCACTGATTGAGACTGAACTTGTCTCCCTTAGCAACTGGAGTATCCCTGGATTTACATTCATGCATGTCAAAGCTTTTAAGAATTTTTTCGATATAGCTCCTTTGTCATAATCCTAAAATACCCCGAGATTGATCTCGGTGTATCTGAATTCCTAATATAAAATAGGCATCACCAAGATCTTTCATTTCGAAATTATTTAATAAAAATTTCTTGGTTTCGTACAATATGCTTATATCATTAGTGACAAGTAGAATGTCATCAACATACAGGATCAAGAAAATATACTTGCTCCCCTTAAACTTGTGATACACACAATCATCAACAATATCCATCTCGAAGTCAAATGAGAGAATTACTTTATGAAATTTGTAGTATCATTGATGATATGCTTGTTTTAGTCCATAAATGGATTTTGTCAGTTTGCAAACCATATTCTTTGGATCTCCCTGCACAAAATTTTCTGGTTGTACCATATAAATTGTTTCATCAATATTGCCATTGAGAAACGCCGTCTTGACATCCATTTGATGAAGTTCCAAATCATGTGTTACAAGAGTCATGATTGTCCTAAAAGAGTCTTTCGATAAAGCTGGAGAGAAAGTCTCTTTAAATTCAATCCCTTCCTTTTGGGTATAACCCTTAGCTACCAGACGAGTCTTATACCTTTTCACATTACCTTTAGAATCTTGTTTGGTCTTAAATATCCACTTGCAACCAATGAGTTTCATACCTTCTGGTAATGGGACAAATTTCCATACTTTATTGTCTTGCATGGACTTATACTTCTGCTTCATTGCTTCAATCCACTTTTCAGAATTAGAACCTTGCATAGCTTGATGGAAATTAACTGGGTCATCATCCATCATATCATTATTTTCCTTATGTTTCTAAAGAAATATCATGTAATCATCTGAAATAGCACTTCTTCTTTCTCTAGTGGATCTCCGCAAATTTATTGACTCATGATGCACAGCTTATTGAGGATATTGAGTTTGTTCTTCATGAATAACCAAATCATCTTGAGTAAGGGATTTATCAACAATGTCTTGTGGAGGTTCCAAACTTACTTTATCAAAAGTAACTGTTTGAATCGGTTCTGAAAATTTTTACTGATTCTTCCTCCAAGACAAAATTTATAATTTTATTCTTCTCCCCAAACTCAATAAGGCATGGCAACGGGGCGTGGCGGGGCAGGGCGGGGCGGGGTCGGATTTTGCCTCCCCGATCTCCGCCCCTGACTTTTTTAATCATCCATGTCCCCGCCCCCGTCGAGGTTAAAAATTAAGTCATCATCTCCGTCTCCGCTGGGTTTCGGGTTTCTCGCCCGTCCCCGATCTATATTATTTTTAAAAAGATAATTACATTTATAATAAATTAATTTTACTATCTATTTTTTTATATATAAATAAATATTATAATTTTATTATTTATAATTTTATAATTTATAATTATTATTAATTAAATATACATTTTAATTTATTATATTTATATTAAAATATGTATGTAAAAGAAATATTTAATCATTTTTTATTTATAATATTATTATTGTTATAACACTGTATTCAAATATTTGAATATTTATAACATTATTATTATAATATTGTATTTAAACATTTGATTATATATAAGTTAATTCATTTTTAAGTTGTCATTTAAAAATATGAAATATATAGTTTATAAAGAAATATTTAATAAGTTAATTCTTATTCAATTAGTTCGAAGTAATAAAAGTTTAAATTATCAATTCCTTTAATCCTTTAAAATACAATTATTTTATTAAAATAAAATTTGTTATATGATAAATAAGAATAATAAGATAAAAAAATATGACATAATAAAACCTAATAAATATAAATTATAAATAAAATAATATTAGTTACTACTAAGATTTATTTAAAATACTTAGAAAAAGATAAAGAATTAAAAAAAAATTTGTGTTCATCAAATTGGTTGAAAAAGATTGAAAAAAATAAATAAATTGATGGGAGAAATTAAGGAAATGTGAAAAATTGAAAGGTAAGATAGAGAATAATGTAATAAATTAATTGATATAAAAGATTAAAAAAGACAAAAAAATTAAAAAGTGGGTAGAAGAAAAATAAAAATTGGTGAAATATAAAAAAATGACCTTATATGTAATAGAAAAAGAAAAGGAAATATTTTTAAAATATTAATATTTTAAAATTTAAATTTAAATATAAAGTCTGGGCGAGGATGGGGTCGAGGTCGGGATGGGGATTGCATTACCCATCCCCGCCCCTACCCTCGACTTTTTAAAGCAGGGAAAACCCGAACTCGCCCCTGGTCAACTCGGGTTTTCCCCATCAAACTCGGGGCAGGGACGGGTCGATCCTTACGGGTTTAATTGTCATCCCTACTCAATATCCTCAAAGAACGTAGCAATTCTCGTCTCAAAAATTGTCTTTAATGTGGGATCATAAAATTTATATCTCCTGGATCTTTCAGCATAACCAATAAAATAATTACTTACTGTTCAGAAGTCCAATTTC